CAGCTTGTTGCTATGGCTGAACCCTGACCTGAAACTGGGTCATTTTACCTCTAACACCAATTGAGGAACAATTTCTGTTGTCAGAAATGGTCTTGCCCATACATTTCAGGATGCTTGGCAGTATCCCTGGCCCCAGGCTGTTAGAAGGCAGCAGCAAGCCCTCCTGACACTGCGGTGACAACAAAATTCACCTCCAGATGTCATGACTGTCCCCTGCCAGACAAAGTCATCCTACTGAGAATCACTTCTTTACAATGGCATTGGATGACCCTTATTAAGTGTTAATTCTTCAAATTTTTTCAATTCTTTTCTAATTATTCCAAAACCCTTTCTGTCAGATGCAATCAAGAATGTACAATGCTTATTTTGCATATTGTCTGTGCCCAGCTCAAAGTGCCCTTTCTCTCTTCTGGTCTATCCGTAATTCCTAGACAGCCACCCCAGCCGACTTCTGTAACTAATTTCCCACCCTTGTATAATCGGTGTGTCTTGTTGGCAATTCTTCCTACCATCCTCATAGTCTTGCTTTCTTTAGCTGTGTTCTAAATGCTGTTCAGGGCTTCCCATGCTCTGGCTGCAGTCCTCACTTGCACTTGGTCTGTATCCCCCCAGCATAATGCTTTCCTCTTTGCTTGGTTTCATAATAACAACCACCCAAATCTGTGTCTCCAGGAAAAACTATTACCAAGAACATTAAGTGGGTTTTCTAATTGCAAAACACCTGTGGAACCTATGGACTCTTCAAGGTCAATTGCTCTCAAAGAACGTTATTGTCTTCCCTGACCAAACTCTTCCTTCTATCTCCTTTTCTTAATAAATTTATTATGCATTGACATGCCCCAAGTTGGAACGCTAGCAATCCCCTTACCTAAGTCCTTCACAGAAGCCATCTCTACTCTCTCCTTCCCCACTGCTCTAACCTAGCCCTGGGCCACTCTGTTAAAGCGCCTGCTTCTCTGCCCGTCTGACCCTTGTCTGCTCTGGCCTCACCTTTCTTTTACTTTAAACCTTGATGGCATTTATGTATCTTTGACTAATTCCCATTGTCCCTGATGTAAACTCTGTGGGGTTTTACAAAACACATTCACAGCTGGGATACCCCTGCTTTCCTGGTCCCCATCTTCCCCATGTGTTACAGACACAGCCTTGTCTTCATTCACTAGAATCTTCTATGTGTCTCTTAGGTTGCCTCCCTACCAAAAGACTGAAATCTTGCCAGTTTTTTGAACAGAGAAAACTAATGTCAGGAAGTGGGTAAGTAGATGTTTGAGAATTTAGCATTGAGGAGAGGACACTGGGAAAACATTGAGAGGGTAACTACTCGCCCAGGTAGCAGCTACTACCCTGGGGCTGAGGATTTACGAGAAAGAGGATTGGGTTTTTAGGACCTAAGAGAGTGGATGGAGGAACCTCAGGGTTCTGAGGTCTGCACCTCTGAGAAGAGATAATGCCTAGCTACTACCTGGCCTCTCTGTGATAGGAGGTAGGGCTCAAGCCTCTAGGGAGGGGATCCTGCGAGGCTGGTGCAGGGACAGTCATAAGTGAAATCAGTCTGGCTCTGAATCAAACTGAGCACTGGAACCAAAGCCTGCTACAGGGATAAAGTCTGTGGCTGAGGCAGTACAAGGAGGGACACCATCAACTAGAAGCAGAAATGCCTTCACAGTCCTTCCTTCTGTGCTCCCTGTAGCGCCCCCTGTTGGTGGAATCGGCAGATTACTTCCATCACTGCCCCACCTTCAACAGCAGAAGGTCGGATGGAGAGTTCAGGGCAATCAATGTTTAGCAAGCAGCGCTGGACTTCCACCGCCTGGCCCTCACCCATATGGCTGCCGCATCCGTAATGTTTTTCCTACTAATTCTGCCCGCTGCAACCTTTATTCAAATCCTGTGTCTTTCCAAAATCTTTCCTATTCTTACTCAAAGCAATTACTTATGTCATCATTTGAGTTTCTCTAGCATTTGCAAATACTTCCTATGTGGTCTTTTTATGTTGTATCATATTTCTGTATATGTGTCTTTATTTTCCACCAAACTCTGAGTTCCTTGAGGGCACATAGAGTTACAGCCATAGATCCTAGCAGCAAGCCTGACACCAGAAGCACGTTGGGTGAGCCCAGTGGAGCCAGTATGGGCATTTTAATTAAATTAGTATTAGGCCATTGCTACATTTTCTCCTCCCAACCAAATTTGAACTACATAAGAGCATAGGTCATGCTTTATGTTTCTTTGCATTTCTTACTCACATTTAGAACAAGGTTTTATATGCTGAAGAACTTGATGACTTTTATCACCTCATTTGTGTATTAACCAATACAATTCTGGTACAGAATGATATGAACATGGAGGATGAGGTTATAAAAATTAGGTGAAGGGCTAGAGAGAGAGCTCAGAAGACTAAGTGCAGGCTTAGGCAAGTGCAGGGACTGGGGCTCGATCCCTGGCACCACAGGTTATGCTGACCCTGCCCCCAGGTACACTGAGCAGACCACTGAGTCTGGGCATGGTGGGGCGGGCTTGTAATCCCAGTACTGGGGAGGCTGGAAACAGGACAATCACCATGAGTCCAAACTGCGTAGTGAGACCCTGTACCAAATACATTTTTAAAAAAAGATGAGATCTATAGTGAGGTTTAAATATGCTTCTAGCATCTGATTCCAACAAATACTGCATATTATAAAACTTGGCATTTGTTGAATTTTGGTGGGAATAACTCAATCAAGAGATCTAATGTGATGTGTCCGATAGTAAATTCTAAAGCAATTAAATGTATTCCAGGTTTCACGTTTTCTATTTATATCTTACAGGAAATATACTCCCCCAATCCATAAAATGATTTATCCTGGGCTACATCTGTTCCTTGTGCATTCATTAAATTTCTCATGGCCATCAAAATCAACTAGCAGATTATTTAAATGTAGGAAAGATATTGAATTTTAACTTAATCACCAGCTTCCTAAAAAAAGAAAGAAAGAAAGAAAAAAGAAACCTCTGTTCAACAACTGATTTATATTCAGGTCCAAGTAAAAGAAAAATAGCTTTTTTAAAAAAGGGGGAGTGATATTTAATTAACTATTGATTTCTTCTCAATTATTCAAGGCAAGCAATTATCGATATTGATGGAACAGATATTTCCTACCTCTAGTGCCCAGATGAAGGGAAATATCCCACTCAGCAATCTGCCGCCACGACAAGCAAGGCTGAGAGTCTTTAGGTCTAGATGAAAATAGCTATTTGGATCTGTTTATTCCATATTGCCCCAATTAAACAGATATTTCTTGAAGTGTAAGCAAAACAAAATCCTGAGAATCTATGTCTGCCTTCCAAATTAACGACAGCAAAACTAAGGCTATTGTTCACTGTCCCATTAGGCAACCACACTGCCTCGGACGCTTTCGCTTCAGAGCTACAGAGCTTGACATTTTAAGCCATAATCTACAAGATCCTATAATTTGAGTCGAATGCTCATGACTTCCAAATCACCCAATAAGAAGTAACTGCTATAATAATTAGGACCCGCGGAACACTGTCTTGTACCTCAGCATTTTGAGTCTGAAGGATTTAGTGCCCTTGACAGACATGGCCGAATTTATAGATGGTGAATGTGGGTACATTTGCAAATTACCCCTACACACTGTGTGTAACTGCCCTGGACGTCACCAGAGGACTACTGAAGAAGACAGCCCAGCAGGCCTCTGTGTGGGGCGCTTTGTCGTTAGTTGTGTGGGTACCTACCACCATCTTTGCTTGGCTACTTTCAACATAGAGCATTAATGTATTTGGATGTATGAAGCTTCTCTTGAAGGTGACATGATTGTTGAACACAATTGATAGACAAAGCACCATTCACTATAGGTTTACTGTGTGGAGGGTGGCAGTCATTTAAAATCAGCATTCCCTTAATAGAACATTAAATGTGTGTATGAGTGTGTCTGTGTAAGTGTTTAATTTAAGTGGCCTATCTAGAAAATTTGACATCACTTTTAAATTAAAAAGTTATAATTTGTAAAAAGCTACTTTTTCTGCTCTGTCCCCTACCCTCACCCCCCACTGTAGAAGGGTCCCTGTACATGAAATGCTTAACCAGCATTTGTTGTTGAGAAATGTTCTTGGCTCTTTTGCTCTTTGTGGTTGTGTTAATTTCCCTGGGTTCTATTTAACATTCTGCTAAATCAGTGAAACCTTGATTACCTAAAAGAGAAAGAGACATGGAATTAATGAGGTTAACCAGATACGCAAAAACACAGGAATTACCAGACATGAAAGTTACATGACAAAGTTTGTGGGTGAATCTCAGTCTCCAGTTGCTTGACTCGATTTATTCAAGCTGACTATTAATTGATGGACCCAACGAAATTCTGGTAATCAGGGTTTTACCATTACATTTATCACCATTTCCTGAAATCAAGGTAACCTTGGGCTCTGCTTCCTGCATTTACAGGACAATAAAACCCCTGACGGCCTTCCCTGTGCCCTCCTGCTGCCCGCCTGGCGCATGCTCCTTCCCCTCCCCCCCCGCCCCTCCTCCCGCTTTCCTTCGGGTTGGGTCTGCATGCGCACAGCCGCTGGGGGCGACAGCGGGGCGAAGGGCGCGCCCCTTGGAGATTCTGGGTCCTTTAGCAAAACTGCTTTGCATTTTAAATACCACTGCCTGGCCTCAGCGCTGCATTCTCCTATCAGGCACTTGTCCCTTCAAAGCCGGGGAGGTCACACCAGGTCCCAGCAGTGCAGGAGCGTGGCACTGCTCTTAGATGGGGTAGCCTAAAATGGCTATAAGATCCAAGATCGCAGCAAAACCCTATAGGAAAAGGGACGACTAGGATCAAAACAAAGGCAGCGCGGGTTCGGAAACCGGAGTCACTTAGCGCTGGCGGGCAGGTGGGGGTGCCGAGGTCGCCGGGCCCACAGAGATAGATGTCTCTGAAAGCTGAAAGCATGCTGCACCCGATGAGCTTCATTTAATTCTGCTTCTTCTTCCCGCACCTCCCCACCCCCTGCAGCGAACGTCTGCGACAACGAGCTGCTGCACTGCCAGAACGGAGGGACCTGCCACAACAACGTGCGCTGCGTGTGCCCGGCCGCCTACACCGGCATCCTCTGCGAGAAGCCGCGCTGCGAGGAGGCGGGCAGCTGCGGCCCCGGCTCCCGGGCAGCGGCCCCGCGGGGCTCCCGGGCGGCGCCGGCGCTGCTGCTCACCGCGCTGCTGGGGACAGCCAGCCCCTGGGCCTTCTAGGCCTGGCCGTGGGGACGCACCACAAGGCAAGCCCTTGCTACCAACAGAGAAAACGCACCCACAGCGCCCCAACGCGCGGACCAACTAAGTGAGGAGGCCTGACTGAACTAAGCCATATCTATCAGCCGTGGGCAGCTCAAGACTGCTGAGTTCTCCCCGCGGGGCAGTTGTCACTGCAGCCGCTGGCCAGCCAGGGGCTTGCTGTGGATTGCAAAGGCCATGACAGCCCCCACCCCACGGGAACGACGGACAACCAGACCAACAAAGCAACCTAAAAACTCTTGCTGCTCTAGCGCGGCGCGTCTCCTTGCAGCGCTGCCCGCCTGCGGACCAGCCAACCGGGAACAGTCTTTGCCGTCAGGTGCATTGTGGGTAGATGGAAACCTGTGCAAAGCTGCCGAATCGGCCCGCTCCAGCCCCTGAGTCCCCTCCGACCTGTGCTCTAGTGAACGTTGCTCTGTAACCCCTGTTGGTTGAAAGGTTTCTTTGTCTGATGTTAGTGATGCACACGTGTGCCCCCTCCCCCAGCGCAAGCCAGTCACACCCCTGTACATCCGCGCAGCACCAGTCACAGCGTGCTCACATCCATGTACCAGAGCGGCTATGGGCAAGCAGAAAGTGTATCTATCCTTTTGTATTCAAATGAAGTTATTTTTCTTGAAATACTGTAAGATGTAGATTTTTTGTATTATTGCCAATTTGTGTTACCAGACAATCTGTTAACGTATCTAATTCAAATCAACAAAGACTGACATTTAATTTTGTCCTCTTTTGTTCTGTTCCGTTTCATTGTGCAGAGATTTCTCTGTAAGGACAACGACCGTGCTGGCATCAAAGAAATATCAGTTTACATATATAACAAGTGTAATAAGATTCCACCAAAGGACATTCTAAGTGTTTTCTTGTCGCTTTAACACTGGAAGATTGAAAGAATAAAAATTCCTGCCTAAACGACTTCAGGAATTTGTATTGCAGTTTCTTAAGATGAAAGAAGCAGCCACCAAGCAGTTTCACACTCACTTTACTGATTCCCGTGTGGACTGAACACGCTCAACTGGAGAATTTAGGTCCCAGGAAGATGGATTGATGATCGCTAGCTTGGACAACTTCTGCAAAACGTGGGACTGTTTCCACTTGGGAAAAACTATAACAGACAAAAAGAAAAAAGAAAAAGAAAGAAAGGAAAAGAAAGATCTAAGTGATTTCCAAGACCATGCCAAAGCCGGTGGGCAGAGCGCTAAGAGACTTATTTTTGAGCCTGCTATATTCACAGAGCGATGGCGACCGCGCGGCTCTAGGGATGCTAATCTATGTATCTTTCCAAATACAGTGTTTACATGGAGGATCGTAAGAGGCCACCTGGGGAACCAGGACAGCAACAGGGAAATTGAGTGATTAGCAATTTGACTTTGAATATATTCAGACTAAGTATTTAAATGAAATATCAAAATATACAGCAGCAAGTAGACATAACTGCTGTTCCTGAGAATAAAGTTTGTTTTAAGTACTGCCCAAGGTGTAATAAATTCTTGCTTCTGCCTTTTACTAGGCCAATTACTGTACAAAACAGCAAGGGGAGGAGGGTGCGGGAAAAATGGCCAAGTTTCCAAGAGACTGCATCAGTATATACTCCTTCCCAGCACACTGTTGTCGTGCAGGTTACAGATGTGTTAGCGGCAGCAACTCCTGGAATCAAAAACAATTATCAGTCCGAGCCAGAGTCGTAAGGACAGTGATGACCTGGCAGAGCAATAACCTGTGCTAGTGTTAGACAGAAGCCTGGTCCTAGCCTGAATTCGTCACCCTGCCGCCACTCCTCGCAGGGGCAGGGGGCACCTGCCTTCTGATAAATAACCTGAGTCAAAACTAGATGAAGGAACAGCATGTCTTATTGGTTTTGTTCCCAGAAAAGCCAATTCAAAGAAGGCAATAAAAGGTAAACAGGTGATGTCTGCACTGCCTGCGCCCCACTTCTGAGTCGATTGAATGTTTGTTATTCAAACCGACAGTCTCTTTTGAAATCAGAAATAAAATTTGAGCTTTGGCTGGCTTAGTGCCAGAGTGACCAGCCATAAATTGGAGATTTGTATTAGGAAGATGAACATAAAATTATATTTCAAGCTCACCAAAGAATGCCCATGAAAATTCTGGTAGCAGAGCTTTTCCGAGGACTTACAATGAGGTAGATTCCCAATACGAAAACGGGAGTTTCAGGTGTCTTAGAGTTGATTAGCACAAACCAAAGGCAGACTGTGTGAGATTTCTGGCAACGACGCACTTTATCACGATCTGCTGACGGCTTGGTCCCCATGCTCAGGAATGCGACGCTGCACAGTTCAATACGTGGGATTCCCAAGGCTAACTAAAACATAACGACGGCCTGGCCTATTCATCTGCGTTTTCTCTTTATGAGGCTACACGAATCTAAATTGATGAGAGGTATCTTGCATTCGGTGTATTTAGATATAGTTTTCTGAATTTCCTGAAGTGATGTGATTTACTTTTAATAAAAACTCACTTTTAGGTATGTGATGGAAATGAAATGTTCTTTTTAATTGGGATTCTCACGTTCTTTGAAAAGGCCTAGTTCTTTGCAATCTCAACTCAGTGTAATTTTTTCTGTTGCTCTCTAGGATTTTTGCACAACTGTTTGCATCTAAAATATTGTGCCCCAACAACAGGCTAGGGAGGAAGTGGGGGGATAGTAAGTTGTACCCACATTTGAAGTCCTAGTTCTTGTCCTGTTTCTGCTTGGATGTTGCCCTTAAGGTGGGACAACATAGCCTTAGGTATGAGTTAATCTGTGAACTTTCCCACAAAGTGAGAGTGTGATTTATTCTGTCAACGTGACTATAAAATTTCAAAAACCAGGACAAAGTGACGGTTATATAGAAACTTGTTATTTGTAGGAACTGAATCTGCCATGTTGGGGTACAGGAGTGATTCGCTTCTGCCACTGCACACAGCGTAAGAGAGAACTTCGCTCCAGCAGAGAAGGACCCTGGCCCAGAGGAACCTTCTCCTTCCTCCAGCCTTGTTCCAGTGCCCAGGGCACCCAGGTGTCCTCCACCCTGGGTGGGGACTGGACTGGGCTTCTTCATGGGTCCTTCGTGGATACCTTCCACTGGTGGTAGGCAGCATCAAGGCTGCACCCCCTGGGCACTTGCATTCGCAGAGAATGGAGTGGTACATACAGGGTGGGCAGTTTGCTATTGAATTCACATGTGACTAAAGAGAGGCCTTTTACAATGAAACCCAGATTTCAAGGATGGAAAAAACAGAGATGGGGGAAGGAGTAATATAAGTTCTCCTTAGGCCCAGAGTCCAGTGCAGAATTCAGAGCAGTGCAAGGATTCTAAACTACTCCTGGGCATCTGATCTAAGAAAGCACATATATGTGTCCAAGTAAGGGGGTGGAACATATTCACTTTATTAACATAGTAACTTTGTTCAAAGGATTGATGTATACATTTTAAATATTTCCACAAATGGCACATGAGTCCCTGGTAATACCTGGGCTCTCCAAATATTTGAGGTTGAATGTCCCTCAGGTATCTGAAGTCAAGTCCTGAAGCTAGAATCAGGGATTCCGCCAGGTAATGTGGAGGGAAGTACAGGCTGGAAGCAGGCACAGTCCCACAGTTCAAGCATTCCTGCTGTTGGTTTTCTTAGTCACTTTCTCTTTACTGGGAAAAATTAGCACAACGTAGAGGACAAAAGGTTTATTTTGGCTCACTTGGTATAGGTTTTAGTCCATTGTTGACTGGCTCCAAGGCAGAGTAGCGTGGCAGGAGAACATGGCAAAGGAGAGACAGCTCAGGCCTGGTGGGCAGGAGGCAGAGAGAATAAAAGGACAAGCAGGGGAGGGATCTAACCCCTAGGCCGTGGCCCCAGGGGCTCTCCGCTCCCTACCAGACTCCAACTCCTACTCATGAGTCTGCCATAAAGCCCCGTGATTCCATCTCCTATGAGTGCATCAGGCTTTGGGGAGACTCCTCGAGAGAAACCATAACATTAGTACCCTGCCTCTCCCTTGGATCTGTGGCCTGCCTGGAGTGACGGACCTTTGAATGAATTGAGGCAGCTGTGTGGAAATCCTGGAATCAAATCTCTGTTCTATCTCCTTTATCCTCCACCATCAAAAATCCATTAATACTAGATGGAAACATAGTATTCTGAAACAGGGCACTCTGTGCGATATGGGAAACACTTTGATGTAATTCGCCTGTTCTCAATTAGTAAATAAGGGGGCTGGGGAGATGGCTCAGTTGAATAAGTGCTTCCCTGGCAAGCGCAAGGGTCTGAGTTCATTCCCTGGGCCCACCAAAAAAAAAAAAAGTCAATTAGTAAATAAAATACTCATTTAATAGTTTTTCTGCTTATACGATGGAATAGGATGCCTGGGGACTTTGAACTATGTGTTCTAAGTATTTCTTATGCACAGAACTCTGTGTTTATGAAATGGAATGACTTAAAAATTCAGCTTCAGGAATTCCTTCCCACTGCTTTTACTTCTTGACAAAGATGTGGTAGGTAGGAACTAAGACACAACTTGGAACCAAGTGGAGCTCAAGGGCTTTTTCTCTCAAAGAAACCCAACTGCATGGTCCTCGTAATATATAGAAATGAAAACTACAAGTAAGAGATACCCAAGAATTTTGATTCAAATGTCTGGCTGTGAAAAAGTCCCTTTGTCTCAGGAAACCAGCACTAGATTCTAATGAATTTTATTTCCAACAACTAAAATTTGTTACAAAATTTGTTTGATACCAATATTCTGACCATTTCTAACCATTCTGACTATCCTAACCATTCCCCTACAGAATGAGTCTTTGCTTTTTAAAATTATATTTTTACCTCCTATACTAAGTAGCTTTTGCCTTCATTACCGAAAAAAAATGACAACAAACTCCCCATATAAAATGTACATAAATATAATATGATATGAGAAAGAATTAAGTGTACCAACTAACAATTTCAGAATTTTTACCAATTATCTCTAGCACATAGACCACTTTTACTCTCCTCGATACCTGGTAAGGTGTGCCTCCTACACTACCCCTCTTCTTATATACCTGAAAAATCAGATAACTGAGAAATAGACGTTGATCCTTGTGTAAATCATGCTATCACACTTAAGTGAGAAAATGCCATCTGTGAAACGTGTGCACATCTATCACCTAGTACTTTTGCAGAGTGGACTCTGAAGTGAGTCGAGCAGCGCGACTGCGGTACTGTAGGAGGGTCTGTTTTTAAACAGTTAAGCATTTAATGAACTCTGGAATTCCCCTCTGCCTTCTCCCATCACCCCAAAGATGTTCTTAATTGATGAATGGATTAAAATGGAGTAGTAACATTTAAAGTTATGTGATGTTTTTATTAACCTGAAATGATAGCTGGTAAAATGGGACGCTATTCTGTAAAACCTAATTATGTTAACACTAAAGATTTAGCTGGGTTAGCTGAAGCAAACTGCACAGTTGGCGGTAAAAATAGCCTCTATTTTCTTAACTTAGTTCCATTTTTTTCCAGAGGTGTCACTTTTAATTATTATTTAATTAGTGAACTATGAATTCTAAAAGGAAAAAAGTGACTGGAAAAAGAAAAATAATTACTACCTCTACTACATCTGTCTGACTACATTGTGAGATTCTTGCATGGCAAGAATGTGTCAAGTTACTGGAAAGACACAGAATATACCACCCAGGTATCCTCCAGCCTCCCTGATAGTACCATATTACAGCCTGGATCTTACAAGGGGCAGACAGTCTAACCTAATAAAAGGAAGAAAATGGCAGAGAAATCACACTCCGGAAGTCCTGTTAAGAACAGGGGATTCTCTTTGCCCCAGGCAGGCAGGAACATAATGTCATTTTTGTCCCTTTGTATCTGCGCTCAGAGGGAGGGCTGCTCCTCTTGGGGGATGGTTTTTCCCTCTGCCGGTGTGAAACACTGCAAGCAAACATCCTCTAAGGAAATAGCATTTTGCTGTTTACCAGTCTGGACTACCCCATGAAGCCCTGAGTAATTGTTTTGGCTTTCATGGTGTGATAAACACCTAGAGGCAAAGAGATTAGTGTCATCACTCTCGGTCTCTTTTTCTGTCCCTTTGGAAAAACCGTGGGGGAAGAAGGGCTCCAAATATAGCATGACAACAAATGCAGGAATCTTTCAGTCAGTTGATGTGCAATTAGGAAGACTCTAGCTAAATATTCAGTTTATTAAATTAATAGCGCGACAAGTATTGGAGCAGTTTTATAACCACTTAAACCCGTGCTTACATCCTGTGTAATTACAATTCATAATTGGGAAAGTAGTCAAATCCAAATGCATTCTGATCTGTGGCACTCAGCCTGCTGAGCACAGCAACGTCACAGCAAGCGACGCCCAAGAGCACGCCCTCTGCTGGAATCCGGCCGGAAGCAGGGCGGGAAGGTGCACGTTCCATTTTACTGAAACATTTTAAATTGTTTTTAAATTGTGGATAGGATTATTTTTTCCAGGCATAAAAATCATTCTATTTTAAAAAGTATAACAGTCTTAAAATGCAAGAATGATCGCTCTCTGGCCTAAAATTAAGATTGGCCCCAATTGTGGAAGCTCTCATCAAATAATAAATTGTTGTCAGAGGACAAATGACAGTGACGCGCAATACATGGAAGCACACTTTTCAGTAATCAACTTTATTTATTTCATACTGATTTTATTTCTACTTCATTTGCCAAGGGTATTTTTATTTCCTTTTGTAGAAATAAGCACATATCTTGGCCAGCCAAATAGCTCGGCAGATTAAAGCACCTGCAAGCAGATGCAGGCACCAGGGTTCAATCCCTGGGCCTGCTAAGCCAACTCCGCCTCTGGGGTGTGCTGAGATGGCGATTGAGACTGGGCATGGTGGCGCGCGCCTGTAGTCCCCCAACTCTTGGGAGGCTGTAAACAGGAGAATCAGTATGAGTCCGATCTAGTACTGAGACCCTGAACACCCTGTAGATCCTTCTTTAAAAATACAGATTAAAAAAAGAAGAAGTACATATCTTAATGTGGTCATTGTTTCAGAAGCTGGGCATAAAATATAAATGACAAAAGGCCAGGTTGGGACAAGAGTGTGAGTGACAAAAAATCAAAGTTTCTTGGCAGCAGTGCTATATGTGTCATAGAAGCTGGTAGGACCAAGGGGAACTCACTACGTCTGCATCCCTGCACCAGCCTTCCCTGCGGGTAGAAGGCTAAGGATTCCAGGAAAGAGCCCAAACAAAGCTTCTGAAATTTTCAAATACGTACATTACTATTTTGATAACAAAATCCTCATATCTCATAAGTGATTCCTGCCAAGGTTATAGCTCTGGCACAGCACCTGCCTGACAAGCACAAGTTCCTGAGTTTGATTCCTGGAATAAAGAAATGGTTCCAAGTCACTGATAACACAGTTGTCGGAATTAGATATTTATCACTTTAATTTAATCCAAATATGTT